ATGACTAGGCGCAGGTGGCTGTCCAGCTGGCCACTGGTCATCCACTTGTGCTCAGCTCTGTCAGATCCTGGTAGCCTCAGGGGTGACCATGAACCCTTGCTAAGGGCTGGACCACAGCCTTTCCACCAGGGTTGCTGTCCTCCAGGGGACAGAGAAGAGGGAAAGCCAAGCAGAGCTCGGACACCAGCTTCTTGCTTTTCAGGCTAAAAGAGTCCTGCTAGACCAATTTGTCCTGACTGAGTAGCCTGCCTTTTTCTTAAAGCCTTTTCTTTTTCCTTTCTGTGAATGCTCTGCCTTCTGCTGCACAATGGAAACTGCTGCCCAAGCCACACCCTCCCGGCTCCCAAATGCCTCTCTGGGGAAAAGGGTTTGCAAGACAACTCCCCAAACTCCCGTGCTGCCGCTTCTTAACCCTGTTCCTTTCAGCAGTGTTTGCTGACATCTTGGAATGGAGATTCTTCAAACATCTCAAGGAATGTGACATTCTTCTCAACTTTGCAAAACATAATAAATGTGATATGCTCTGAACACGAAATGCTTGTTGGGAAGGACAGAGGGAATTGGAGGAAGATAGATTCAAAGAATGATAGAGAGGCAGGTGCATCACCACCCACTGTGTGACCTTGGCAACCGCTTCCCACCATGGCCTCAGTGGTCCCATCTGTGCATTGGTCCGGTGACTCTTTCCAGCTCTTTGAGCTTTGCGGTTATCGTGAAAGCTGAGGGCCTGAGGTCATCCAGTCTCCATTAGGGAGCCATACCTTGAAGATGTCTGTGTAACTTGACTGCCTGTGAAATCTGTTGCCTTAGGGGCCAGGTCTATTCTTCCCTTGGGGATGGAAAGGGGCAGGTACAGGCCTTCTGTGCTGTCTCTGAGGTGCCCATGGCCTGTGGGTTGCAGGGTGGGGGTCCTGGCTGTGGTAGGGTGAACACGATGAGGCAGGCAGCAGGCAGACTGAATCCACTGACATTTTTGCTCACTCTTAGCTGACCATTGTAGGTAGGAGGCTGCTCTGGGCTGGCCTGCTTGCTCTCCTTTCTGTGGAAATAAATGGCCTCCTCCCTCTGCTCTCCCAGCCTCCTTTTTCTGCTCACCACTCCCTTTTCCTCATTATCTATCTCTTTTCTTGCTTCATTATCTGTCCCTGGAGGGAACCTACCTTTCTTCTTCTGCCTGGGATAACTTTTGCTAAATTCCCTGGGAGTGCTGCGCTGTGTCTCATTTAGAATAACTCACAGGTGGTCCTACCCGTGGCCGTTGAGGTTCTAAGCTAGTAGAGACAGACAGATACATATTACTTTGGTTATTCAATCAAATATATGCAATAAATGCTTGCTCTGTGCCAGACACTAGTTTAGGTCCTTTGGAGTCACAGGAATGAATGAGACCTGGTCCCTGTTTTTATGAAATTCTCCTTTAATTAGACAGATGTGACAAGGACACAAGAGTGGCAGTCCATGCCTGACAGGTCCTCAGAGCTGTCCAGTGGGGTCTTGGCTGCACTTTTGTCGTCCACTCAGTGACCCTCTACGGAGCCCCACCACGTGCACAGTGCTGGGCTGGGCAGCGGGAAGCCTCTGAGAACAGGCTCTTGACCGAGCCATCGGGGATGAGAAGGAGGTGCAGTGCATGAGGCACTAACTACCCTGTTCTCAGGGCACGCCCTGGGCTCCGTGGTGGCAGTGCACGGATGAATCTGTCACCCTCTTTCCGTGGGAGATCACAGCGATGAAGAGAGATAAGCCAACCGATCATTAAAAAATAACATAGCAAGCGATATGGGAGATGTAAACTCTTACTGCTCTATGGCCTCAGGCGAGGCACCAAGCCACTCTGAGACTCAGGTTTTCATCATTAAAGTATGTGGATTAACAGGGTTCTCGTGAGGATTAAACTCATGTCGTGCGCTTAGCAAAGTAGCACACGAGAAGAGTTCTGAGAATTATTATTAAAGTTATATCTATATAGGAAGATTCATCTAGTAGTCTTGTTTATTGAAGCTGAATGCTGCTATCCTGAGCACATGTGACGACTGCTCCATGTCATTTCCTGGTACCACCAGCTGTATGCCAGGCCCGGGCAGGGAAACTGAGGCCTCCTGGGTCTGCTTTGGCTGTAAGACTTCTCCCAGATGTGACGCCGAGGTGCCGTGCCACCTTGTCATTTCTACTGGGCAGCTTGAGACGGGGCCCTGGAGATGCTAGGGTCTGTCTGAGCTCCTAAGAAAGGAGCAGGGGCAGGTCCTGGAGTCAGGCAGCCCTGGTCTGAGTAGACAGCAAGCTAATTCCAGTTCTGTCTGGTTCCACAGAAACTCCACCCTTATGGCTCTCTCCAGCAGGAGATGGGGCTGGCCAACTCAACCAATGCTACCCAGGATAGAAGCTTTACCTCATCAGGACAGACTCTGATTGGCTGAGCAAACCCGAGGGCGGGACTCTGCTTCTGGCAACTTAACCCTTTCTTGGGCATCCCCTACCACCCAGTAACCTCACCTCAACTGGACCCAAAAAGGAGGACCAAGATGGTGGGCCTAAGGTCATTTGAAGAGAGTGGCCCCACGGGTGTGTGTGGACTGGCCTCAGAAGGACCACAGTGGTGCAAGAGGCCCTGTGGGCACATGCAGACTGGAATTAGAAAGTCCCAAATGAAGACAACACAGAAACTTATTCCCCACAAAGAAGAAAGAGGCGAAATAGCATCTGGGCTTCTGGTGGTTCCAGCACCTGCCTCGGGGGCAGCAGGAGAGGCTGGGAGAGGTCGGCCCTGGTGGAGAACAATGCTATAACCCTCTGCTGCCAGAAGACACCTTCACTCATTCGCTCATCTGTACTCATTTATTCATTCCTTTATTCAGTGGATATTTGGGGGCATTTACTTTATGCCAGGCTCTGTGCTAGGAGCTAGGGATACTGTGGAGAATGAGATGGACATGGTCTCTGCTCTTCTCAAGATTTCTGCCCTCGTGGGAGTGAGCATTAAATAAATCAACATACACATACGTACACACATGCACTCACGTGATTACAAACTGTGATAATCCATGAAGGAGAAGAACAGATTTCTGTATGAGAGAATGGCATTTAGATTGCTATGTGTGTGGAGGTGGGGTGAGGTGGGGGAGACCATAACTTTTGAGCTGGGGCCTGCAGACCAGAAAGGAGTTAGCCAGCCAAGGACTTTGGAGAGAATGTTCCAGGCAGATGTACCTGAGATAGGAAGGAACTTGGCATGCTGGAGGGATGGAGGCCAGGCCAGCGTGGCTGGAGCTTAGTGAGGAGGCAGATAAAGTGGGTGGGGGCCAGATCACACAGGGCTGTGGTGGTTACTAGTTTATCGATTTCATTCTAGATACAAGGGAAGCCACTGAGGGCTTTTGAGAAAGGGAGTCACAGAGTTTTGGGTACATTTCTAGAAGGTCAGTTATAGGAAGGGCCCAGGTCGGTGTGAGGAAGTCAGGAGGTCCCTTCAGTCCTCCAGCTGAGGGGCGATGGTGGCCTGTCCTGGATGGTGGCTGGGGAGGTGGGACGTGAATGCCCAGACCCTGGCATGTGATGGAGGCTCTGGGATGAGAAGCGAAAATTCTCTGCCTCTTCACCCTGTGTGTCCTCCTCTTCCGCTGTGTCTTGCTCTTTCGGAGGATGCAGGTGAAGATTGGGGCCTTACTTCCAGAGCCCCGTCCCAGCCGGCCCTGGGTAGGGACCAGTGCTGAGTTCTGGGGATGTCCCTGGAGTTGGGAGCAGTGAGTGCTTCACCCGCTAAGGTGGGAAAGTTCACAGCCCCCAGCCTCAGCCGGCCTTGCCTGTGCTGTCTCTCCATCCAATGCCGAATGGTCTGATGAGAAGCTGAAACATAGCCATCTGGAAACTGACTGGGTTGGTTTTTTGAAGAGCTTTTAAGGTCCGGGACTGGGGCTAGGTGTGGCTCAGCACTCCAGAGGAGACTGTCCTGCCACAAGGCTAAAGAGAGGCCTACCAAGGGGGCAGTGATTAGAGAGCTCAGCCCACTCCCTGCCTGCTGCGCCCCAGTCTGGAACCCAGGGTTGGGCAACTCTCACAGCCTTACCTACCTGCCGAGACCTAGAGGGAGAGAGAAGCCCAAGGTGTGAGCCACAGAGCTCAGCACAAAGGGGATGTGTAGGATCAGGGCTGCTTGACTAGGAAGAGAGGGTGAGAAAGGCTGGAGAGGTGGCTCAGGCCAGAGAAGCTCCGGACCCTGGACATTCTCTGCATCTTGTCCTGTAAGACTTTCTAAGTGTCTTTGGAGAGGGGTCTTGTGCTTGGCGCGTTTGCTCTGCTGCTGTGAAAGGGACCTGGAAGAGAATTCATCTTTTACCTTCCACTTGCCCTCCTCCCAGCCTAGCAGAGATCAGGCATGTGTTATCAGTGGTCTAACAGGGGGCGAGATGTATCTGCCCATGACCAGGCCAATGCCCCCGTCTAGCAGGGAAGTAGATTCACCTGAAGTGGGACAAGTGGTACATAGTGTCCATCACGCGGGACTCAGCCTCGGGGTTAATTCTGAGAGGCTGAGCAGCTAAGCCTGCACAGACAGCAAGCCGCACTTTGATTTCATTTGATTCCCTTACAAAATGACATTAAGTGGAATGTGGGGCGCAGGAGAATCGCCTGTCTGGAAAGGCAGCAAGCTTGTCTCTCCGGGACCTGGTGACCTACCTCTGTCCACCAGACAGGTGCAGAGGACAGGAGTTCTAGCCAGAGAGAAATGGAGAATCTGAATGCAGCATCCAGCCCTGGGGAGAGGGCTCTCTCCCCACTTGTCCCAGGAAGCTGCTGAGCGGGGTGGATGCCTACGTCAGGGTCCTTGGCCTGGCCGGTTGTTGGGAAAGCGGACATCAGCTCCTGGAGGCCCCGTCTTCCCAGTGACTGTGGTGAGCCAGGGTGCCATGGCTGCTCTGCCTCTCCAATCGATGACACAATTAATTTGGCTCCACGGGCTTGAGAAGATGAAATATGACCGGCTGCTACTGCTCTTCAGCAACCCCGTCCATCCCAGCCATCCAGGATGATGAACAAGCTATGAAAATGGCCTTTGAGAGTCATAATCACGGGAAACACAGCCGAGCTCCTCCCTCCACATCAATCACCCCAAGAAGCACACACAATGGTCTCTTTCCTGATGGGCCAATTGTCTTGGTTTGGTGTCTCAGGGCCAAGGAGCTGGGAGGATGGGAGCACAACCATTTATTATTGAAAGGGCCATCTGTGTGATTTGAATACAAAGTGATCCTTTTAGTTACGCTAAACACACCCGCTCTGATCCCGTTTTCATGTTTTCTTGGGTCTCAGGCTCAGGGTCTTTTGCAACTCTGGAGTTTTTCCTGTTCACAGTCGTGCCCGGGGCTCTGCTGGCCTGGGTTTTTTTGGCCCTTTGGGAGTTGAAACCTGTTGGAAATAACGATGACATTTATTTATGTACGTCTAGTTTTTAAAAAATTCCTTATCTTTAATTCTTTTTTCGTAAATTCTACCACTGAAGTCCTCACATCTCACACGTTACCGAGAGGGTTCTATAAAGTGAAGGTGCAGGCAATTTCACAATGTTGGAGGGCTTCCTCCAGGGGAAGATGGCATCTGAGGTCCCCCCTAGGGGAGACATCATCTCCCCTAGGCCTCCTAGCAGCCTCGTTTTATGGATGAAAGGGGTTAGGACTCAGAGAAGTTAAGTGATTTATCCAAGGTCACACGGCTGGGAAGAGTCCGAGCTAGTTCTTAAACCAAGGTCTTTGAATCTCATTTATTGCTCTTTCCAATGCAAAGACTTGCCTTTCAGGGATGGAACTGAGAGAAATCAGTCATCTCCTCCAGGAGGAGGCAGAAGGAGGCCATCCTTTCCCCGCCCCCTCCCTTTGAAGTTGTGGCCCTTTAGGACACACAAATGAGATGCCATAATCTCTACACCATGGCAGAAGGAGGCCATCCTTTCCCCGCCCCCTCCCCTTGAAGTTGTGGCCCTTTAAGCTTAAGAGGGACGCTTTAGGACAAACAAATGAGATGCCATAATCTCTACACCGTAGAGAATGAACTTCTAGAGTTCATATTCCTGAGGGGTGGCCCAGGTGAAAAGACCAAGAGCGTCACACAAGATTTGAAGACTCTTAAGTGAAAGACAAGGTGAAGCTCCTTACGAGAGGCCTTCAGAGGGCACTGGGATGGTAGGGAGACCCCTTCCCCCTTTGAGTCTGGCCTTCAGAACCAATAGACATAGCCTTTTGATGCCTGGCAACAATGGGCCAAAGGCAGAGATGGAAGGCCCTGGCCCAAGTACACTGAGCAAGAGTCTGGAAGGAGGACTTTGACCCAAGCCCCATTGATAGCGAGGAGAGCCCGCTCCAAGTTCTGGGCCTAGATTTTGCTAATTGACTGCTTTAGAGTTTCAACCCTAACTAACTGAGAATCAACTGGACTAGATTTCAGATATCCCTCCAAAGAAGCAGACTCTATCCTAAAATACTCAGCTGTTTTCCAGTCTCTCCAGCTCCCCTCCCTCCCACCCTCCTGTCTACAGGTCTGGCTGGGTAGACTGCCTTCTTCAGCTTCTTGCCCTTGGACTCAGCCATCTTACTACTCTCTTCTTAGCTCTTAACAAAGACAGCACAACCTTACCATCTATGCTGTCTTGACCTTATCGTCCCTCAAGCCTTTCTCTGAATAGGGCCACCGTCCTCCAAATTGTTCCCAGATCCTCGGTTTAAGGGTAGAATAATAATGCTGGGTAATTTGGTAAGCCTAGCACTGTGCCAAGCTTTTGACCTACATTGTCACTTTAATTCTCACTATAGCTTCATGGGGTTCACTATCCTTTATTCTCATTATACCTAAGTGATAAATGAAGGTACCGAGTCTTAGAGAAGTTAAGAAACTTGCTCGAGGTCACACAGCTAGTGAGATTGGAACCTGGGCGGCCCAGGTCCAGAGCACCTGCTTTTGATTGCTCTGTTCTACTGCTTTCCAGCAATCATGGCCCATCCAAGTTGGGAGGGGCTGGGGAGGCTGAGTAGTCACAGTCCTCCCTCAAAACCATCGTAGGGGACTGTCGTCTTCAGAATCGAGCCCAGGTCTCAGCTCGTCTCTCGAGGCTCTCCGCAGTTGCACTGTGCTCCTGCTTTGCCCGTGCACCCCAGCCACACTGGATTATTCTCCTTCAAGCTCCCCATGCACATTCATGTTAGGCTGTTTCATCTGTCCGATGTTGCCTGCCCTCCTCTGCTGTCCCTGCCAGATGCAATCCTCAACCTTCAAGGCTTGGTCCCTCTCTGATGCACCTTTCCCAAGCATGCATCAGAAGTCATGCCTCCCCCTCTGCGTTCCCATAGGGTTTTGTTCATCCACAGCACAAGCTGTAGGCAGACGTGTCTTCTCTGCAAGACTATGAGCTCCTTGGGAGCCAGCGGAGGTCATCTCTTATTTATTTTTGATTCTGTTACTGCCTGGTCCTTAGTAGGTGCTCCGTAGATGTAGAATTAAATTGGATCACGTGGTTCAAACTTCTCATGTTCTAGAATCTAGATGAGGAAACTCAGGCTCAAAAGGGAAAGTGAGCTGGCCAGGGTCATGGGACAAGTTAATGGCAGAGGCAGGACGAGAACTCAGGTCTCCCAACTCCCTTGGCTCAGAGCTTTTTCTGTTGCATCTCAACTTTGTGAGACTGGAGCCTAAGTCCCCACTTGGTTCATTAAGCAATCTGGCCAGGTTTCCTTCAGGGTCATGGATTCTGCTGTATTCTGTGCTGACTGCTTGCTGTGCATCCTCAGAGGGAAAAGAGACCGGTTCAGAACTACTTTCGTGGTTCTCTTCCCCGTCTCACTGAGCCCGTTGCCCTCAGAGAAAACCAGAGTAGGATTCCGAAGATCCTGGTCAAAATCCTGATTTTGCTGGTAATTCGCTGTGTGACTTTGGGCAAATTACTTCACCTCTCTTCAACACAAACCCCAAATCATGGAATATAGTGTTTATTTTACAAGTGACTGGAAAATTGATAGAACCATAAAATCTTTGAAAGTGGAGCTGAAAAGCTCCCTCTTCCTTCACTGAGATCAACTGATTAATAAGC